CACCATCTGCTCCCGCTCGCCGGGGCCCCCCCCGGCCAGGACCTTGGCGTTCAGCGCCGCGCGCTCGATGGCCCAATCCAGGCGCGGGCTGGAGAACACCTGGAGCCAGCCCGAGGTCTCCACCAGCCTGGGGGGGATTAATGGGGGGGTCCGGTTTAATGGGGGGGGGTATGGGGTTCAATGGGGGATACTGGGTTTAATGGGGGGTTCAGATTTAATGGGGGGATCAGGTTTAATGGGGGGGTCTGGTTTAATGGGGGGGTCAGGTTTAATGGGGGGGTATGGGGTTCAATGGGGGGTACTGGGTTTAATGGGGGGTTCAGATTTAATGGGGGGATCAGGTTTAATGGGGGGGTCTGGTTTAATGGGGGGGTATGGGGTTCAATGGGGGACTGGGTTTAATGGGGGGTTCAGATTTAATGGGGGGGTCGGGTTTAATGGGGGGGTTGGTTTAATGGGGGGTATGGGGTTTAATGGGGGGTATTTAATGGGGGGATTTAATGGGGGGTCGGGTTTAATGGGGGGGTCCGGTTTAATGGGGGGGTCTGGTTTAATGGGGGGGTATGGGGTTCAATGGGGGGTACTGGGTTTAATGGGGGGCTCAGATATAATGAGGGGGTCTGGTTTAATGGGGGGGTCTGGTTTAATGGGGGGGTATGGGGTTCAATGGGGGACTGGGTTTAATGGGGGGCTCAGATATAATGAGGGGGTCTGGTTTAATGGGGGGGTTGGGTTTAATGGGGGGCATCAGGTCTAATGGGGGGGTATGGGGCTCAATGGGGGGTACTGGGTTTAATGGGGGGCTCAGATATAATGAGGGGGTCTGGTTTAATGGGGGGGTCGGGTTTAATGGGGGGCTATGGGGTTCAATGGGGGGTACTGGGTTTAATTGGGGGCTCAGATTTAATGGGGGGGTCAGGTTTAATGGGGGTTATCAGGTCTAATGGGGGGGGTTGGGTTTAATGGGGGTAATGGGTTTAATGGGGGGGGGTTTAATGGGGCTAATGGGGGCCATTGGTTTTAATTGGGGGGTATGGATTTTAATGGGGGGTATTGGGTTTATTGGGGCTTAATGGGTTTTAATGGGGGGTATTGGGTTTAATGGGGGGTAATGGGTTTTAATGGGGGGTAATGGGTTTAATGGGAGGTAATTGGTTTTAATGGGGGGTATTGGGTTTAGAGGGGGGGGCATTGGTTTTAGCGGTGCCCTGAGGCCCCCCCTTACCGGTAGCACACCAGGAAGTGCGCGTAGGCCACGGCGATCCAGTTGTGGTGCCCGCACACGAGGCGCACGGCTCCGGCATCGCTCCCTAGGGATGCATGGATGGAATTGGGGGGGGGGGGTTCAACCGGTGCCACCGGGGCTGGGGTTGGGGGGAACAGGGGGGTTCTCACCGGAGCCACCGGGGGGGGGCCGCTCGTCCGCTGCGGGCCCCAGGCTCGGGGGCAGAGTGTGGCTGCGGCGCACGGGCACCGGGAGCCGCGGAGCAGGATGAGGCCCTGCCAGGCTGTGCCGGCTGCGGCGGCGGGCAGGGAGAGCTGGGGGTATAGGGGATATGGGGGGTATAGGGGATATGGGGGGTATGGGGGGTATGGGGGTATGGGGGGGATAGGGGGGATAGGGGGATAGGGGGTTATGGGGGGATAGGGGGGATAGGGGGTATAGGGGATATGGGGGGTATGGGGGGTATAGGGGGGTATGGGGGGTATAGGGGGTATGGGGGGTATAGGGGATATGGGGGATATGGGGGATATGGGGGGTATGGGGGATATGGGGGGTATGGGGGATATGGGGGATATGGGGGGTATAGGGGATATGGGGGGTATGGGGGATATGGGGGGTATGGGGGATATGGGGGGTATGGGGGGTATAGAGGGGTATGGAGGGCTGTGGAGGCATAGAGGGTATAGGGGATAGAGGATAGAAGGGGTATGAGGGATAAGGGGGATATAGGAGGTATGGGGGTGTGGGGGGTATAGGGGATATGTGGAATATGGGGGGTATGGGGGATATGGGGGGTATAGGGGATATTAGGGGTATATAGGGCGTATGGGGATATGGGGTATAGGAGTTACGGGGGATACAGGGGGTATAGGGGATATGTGTGTGGGGGTTCAGGTTTAAGGGGGGGGTTCAGGTTTAAGGGGGGGTCAGGTTTAAAGGGAGGGGTTCAGGTTTAAGGGGGGGGTCCCCGTTTTTACCTGGGGGGGGCAGGTACCCTGTGAACAGGACACAACCACACGAGGAGCGCTCCAGCTCCTCCCGCAGCTGCAAGCGGCGAACTGCAGAGGGGGGGGTAGAAACAGGACCGGGTTAAACCCCCCCCTCCCCGTATCCACATGGACCCTTCCCCACGGCGGCGGCCGGGGCCGGACCGCACCAAGCGGCACCTAGGGGGGTGATGCCGTAGAACTGCGCCTCGTGCAGCAGCAGCGCGGCGCTGACCCCCCCCGCCTCCAGCTCCTTGGTGCGCAGGAAGTTGAGGATGGGGGCGAAGACGGAGGGGTCCCGGTCAATGAAGATCTATGGGGAGGGGAGGGGGAAAGGTGATGGGGACCCCCCCTTTAGGGTCACAACCAATGGGGGGGGGGCAGTTGGGGGGGGGGGGTGGGGGTGTCTCACCGCTCCGGTCTCATCCTTTAAGGTGGAGATGCGGCCGCTCAGGAGGCTGTGGGGGGGGGTAAAAGGGGGGTTAATGAGGGGGGGTTAATGAGGAGGGTCCCGATGTCCCCCCCCACCCTCAACAGCGATGGGATCGCCCCTTCCATCACCTGGAGAAGAAGGAATCCGGGATCCAGGTGAGGGTCTGGCGGGAGGTGCTGAACCTGGGGGGGGGGGGTTAGGGTCAGGGTTAGGTTCGGGGGGGGTCCGGAGGGGTTCGGGGGGTCCCGGAAGGGTCCGGAGGGGATCGGAGGGGTCCCGGGGGTGTTCGGGTGGGTTCGGAGGGGTCTGGGGGGGATCGGAGGGGACCCAGAGAGGTTCGGGAGTTTCCGGAAGCGTTCGGGGGGTCCCGGAGGAGTTCGGGGGGTCCCGGCGGGGATTGGAGGGGTCCCGGAGGGGCTCGGGGGGGTTCCGGAGGAGTTCGGGGGGTTCCGGAGGGGTTCGGGAGGTTCCGGAGGGGCTCGGGGGGTCCCGGCGGGGATTGGAGGGGTCCCGGAGGGGTTCGGGTGTTTCCGGAGGGGTTCGGGGGGTTTCGGCGGGCTCGGGGGGCTCCGGAGAGGTTCGGGTGTTTCCGGAGGGGTCCCGGAGGGGTTCGGGGGGCTCCGGAGGGGTTCGGGGGGCTCCGGAGGGGCTCGGGGGGTCCCGGCGGGGATTGGAGGGGTCCCGGAGGGGTTCGGGTGTTTCCGGAGGGGTTCGGAGGGGCTCGGGGGGTTCCGGAGGGGCTCGGGGGGGTCCCGAAGGGGCTCGGTTGTTTCCGGAGGGGTTCGGAGGGGCTCGGGGGGTTCCGGAGGGGCTCGGGGGGGTCCCGAAGGGGCTCGGGTGTTTCCGGAGGGGTTCGGGTGTTTCCGGACGCACCTTTTGCCTCCCACGTTGAGGTGCACGACCTCGGCCCCCGGCACGGCCGCCATAGCGGCGCGGCACTTCCGCCTCCGCCCCCGAGCTCCTCATTGGTCCGCCTGCGCTGCAGCCCCGCCCTCCGCCGCTCGCTATTGGTCCGTTTGAAGGCGCGCCCGCCCCCCCTTTCCCCGCTCAGAGCCTGCGCGCGCATTGGTCAGTCAGGAAAAGGGGGCGGGGCTTTCATCCCTGAGACCCCTCCCCTTCTTAAAGGGGCAGCAGCATCACTTGAACATCTTCCCCCCCCAGCCCCATAACTGCCCCCAATGCCCCCCCCAGCCCTACAACTGCCCCCTCCCAGCCCCACAAGTGCTCCCAATGCCCCCACAACCGCCACCCCAGTCCCACAACTGCCCCCAATGCCCCCCACCACCCCACAACTACCCCCAATCCCTCCTCCAGCCCCACAACTGCCCCCCAGCCCCAGAACTGCTCCCAATGCCCCCCCAGTCCCACAATTGCCCCCCTGCCCCCCCAACCGCACAAGTGCCCCCAATGCCCCCCCCAGCCCCACAACTTCCCCCTCCCAGCCCCACAAGTGCTCCCAATGCCCTCCCCCAGCCCCACAACTGCCCCAATGCCTCCCCCCGCCCCAGCCCCACACATTGAAGGGGGGCAGGTTCCATCCTGCTCCTTTATTGGCGGTGCTGGGGGTGCAGGGGGGGTTCATTACATTTATACAGTCACAGCGAGCGCGTGGGCCCGGGGGGAGGGGCCCAAATTTGGGGGGGGGCAAGTGCTTGGGGGGGGGGGGGGGGGGGGATTTTGGGGTTATTTTCCTGCTTTTTGGTACATTCTATACAAATACAACCTCTGCCCCTCCCCCCCATGGCTCTGTGTGTGCCCCCCCCCCCATTTGGGGTACCCCAAGGTGATGGGGGGACCCCCCCCTATGGCTTGTGCATGGGAAAAGGGGGCCCGGGGATACGGGGGGGAGGGTGATGAGGAATTGAGGGGGGGGCGCACCCCATTTCCAACCCCCCCAACCCCATGGGTCACAAAGGGGGGATCCCCAACCCCCCCCCCCCCAGACCCTATTTGGGGGTCCCTATGAGGGGTTCCCTATGGGGGTGTCCCTATGGAGGTTCCCTATGAGGGGTTCCCTATGGGGAGGTCCCTATGAGGGGGGTCCCTATGGGGGTGTCCCTATGGGGGTTCCCTATGGGGTGTCCCCATGGGGTTGTCCCTATGGGGGTTCCCTATGGGGGTTCCCTATGGGGTGTCCCCATGGGGGTGTCCTTATGGGGGGTGTCCCCATGGGGGGGTCCCTATGGGGGTTCCCTATGGGGTGTCCCCATGGGGCGGTCCCTATGGGGGTGTCCTTATGGGGTGTCCCCATGGGGGTTCCCTATGGGGTGTCCCTATGGGGGTCCCTATGGGGTGTCCCTATGGGGTGTCCCTATGGGGGTCCCTATGGGGTGTCCCTATGGGGGTGTCCCTATAGGGGGTGTCCCCATGGGGGGGTCCCTATGGGGGTTCCCTATGGAGGTGTCCCCATGGGGGGGTCCCTATGGGGGGGTCACTTCCGCCGCCCGGAGGCGCTGGGGCGCCGCTCGCCCTCCCGCCGGGGGGCGCCCTCGTCGGTGGAGGAGGTGGTGAGCGCCTGGTGCCAGCGCGCCACCTCCTGGTGCTCCTGGGTACTGGCGGCCAGGGCGCGCAGCCAGGCCCGCATCTCCTCCTGCGGGAGGGAGCCGGGACCGGGAACGGGGAAACGGGAACGGGGATGGGAAACGGGGAAACGGGAATGGGGAAAGGGGAAAGGGGGAACGGGGACGGGAACGGGGAAACGGGAACGGGGATGGGGAAACGGGAATGGGGATGGGAACGGGAAGGGGGAAACGGGAATGGGAAAGGGGGAACGGGGACGGGAACGGGAACGGGGATGGGAACGGGAAAGGGGAAACGGGAATGGGAACGGGGACAGGGAAAGGGGAAAGGGGGAACGGGGACGGGAACGGGGAACGGGGATAGGAAACGGGGAAACGGGAATGGGGAAACGGGAATGGGAAAGGGGGAACGGGGACGGGAACAGGAACGGGGAAACGGGGATGGGGAAACGGGAACGGGGAAAGGGGAAACGGGGAAAGGGGAACAGGAACGGGGAACGGGGATGGGAAACGGGGAAACGGGAATGGGAAAGGGGATGGGGAAAGGGGAAAGGGGAACGGGGAATGGGGACGGGGACGGGGAAAGGGGAAACAGGAACGGGGAAATGGGAAAGGGGACGGGGATGGGGAAAGGGGGAAGGTGAACGGGGAAACGGGAACAGGGATGGGGATGGGAACGGGGATGGGGATGGGGAAAGGGGAAACAGGAACGGGGATAGGAACGGGGACGGGGATGGGGAAAGGGGGAAGGTGAACGGGGAAAGGTGAACGGGGATGGGAACGGGAACAGGGATGGGGATGGGAACGGGGACGGGGATGGGGAAAGGGGAAACGGGAACAGGGAAACGGGAACGGGGATGGGAGCGGGACCAGGGATGGGGATGGGAACGGGGACGGGGATGGGGAAAGGGGAAACGGGAACGGGGAAAGGTGAACGGGGATGGGAACGGGGACGGGGATAGGGAAAGGGGAAAGGTGAACGGGGAAACGGGAACGGGGATGGGAACGGGAACAGGGATGGGGATGGGAACGGGGACGGGGATGGGGAAAAGGGAAAGGGGAAACGGGAATGAGAAAGGGGAAACGGGGATGGGGGCGGGAACAGGGAAAGGGGACGGGGATGGGGAAAGGGGGAGGGAAACGGGAACGGGGACGGGGAAAGGGGAACAGGGAAACGGGGCGGGAACAGGAAAGGGAACAGGAAGGGGGATGGGGACGGGAACGGGAGAGGGGAAGGGAAAGCGGATGGGGATGGGGATGGGGAAAGGGAGAGGGAAACAGGGAAAGGGATACAAAAATGGGGTCAGAGACACCAAAAATGGTGAAAGAGGCACAAAAATGGGGTCAGAGGCACAAAAAATGGTGAAAGAGGCACAAAAATGGGGTCAGAGGCACAAAAATGGGGTCAGAGACACAAAAAATGGTGAAAGAGGCACAAAAATGGGTTCAGAGACACAAAAAATGGTGAAAGAGAAAAATGGTGAAAGAGGGAGAAAAAGGGTGAAAGAGGCACAAAAATGGGGTCAGAGACACAAAACCGGGGTCAGGGACACCAAAAACGGGGTCAGGAACACAAAAGCAGCGTCAGAGACCCCAAGAGACCCCCAAAAGTGTGAAAGAGACCCCAAAATGGCATCAGAGAGACCAAAAATGATGGAAGAGACCCAAAACCACCATCGGAGACCCCAAAACCGGTGTCAGAGACCCCAAAACAGCACCAGAAACACCAAAACCACCATCGGAGACCCCAAAACCGGTGTCAGAGACACCAAAACAGCACCAGAAACACCAAACCCACCATCGGAGACCCCCAAAACCGGTGTCAGAGACACCAAACCAGCACCAGAAACACCAAAACCACCATCGGAGACCCCAAAACCGGTGTCAGAGACCCCAAACCAGCACCAGAAACACCAAAACCACCATCGGAGACCCCAAAACCGGTGTCAGAGACACCAAAACAGCACCAGAAACACCAAAACCACCATCGGAGACCCAAAAACCGGTGTCAGAGACACCAAAACAGCACCAGAAACACCAAACCCACCATCGGAGACCCCAAAACCGGTGTCAGAGACCCCAAAACAGCACCAGAAACACCAAAACCACCATCGGAGACCCCAAAACCGGTGTCAGAGACACCAAAAAGGGCATCGGAGACCCCAAACCAGCACCAGAGACCCCCCCCCATCAGAACCCCAACCCCCCCATCGGCACCCACCTCATCCTTGGCTTGCAGCAGGAACTCGCTCCCATCGCTGGTCCTACATGAGAAGGCCCCGCTCCAGCACTGCCCCATAGCCCCCCCCTCCTGCCCCACAGGCCCCTCACCCCATTGCCCCCCACCCCTCCTGCCCCATAGCCCCATATCCCCCCTCCTCCTCCCCCATAGCCCCCCACCCCTCCTGCCCTATAGCCCCATATCCCCCCTCCTCCTACCCCATAGTCCCCACCCCTCCTGCCCCATAGCCCCCCAGCCCTCCTAACCCATAGCCCCCCACCTCTCCTGCCCCATAGCCCCCCTCCTCCTACCCCATAGCCACCCCATCTCACAGCTCCCCACTCCTCCTGCCCCATAGCCCCATATCCCCCCTCTTCCTACCCCATAGTCCCCACTCCTCCTGCCCCATAGCCCCATATCCCCCCTCCTCCTACCCCATAGTCTCCACCCCTCCTGCCCCATAGCCCCATATCCCCCCTCCTCCTACCCCATAGTCTCCACCTCTCCTGCCCCATAGCCCCATATCCCCCCTCTTCCTACCCCATAGTCTCCACCTCTCCTGCCCCATAGCCCCATATCCCCCTCCTCCTACCCCATAGCTCCCCACTCCTCCTGCCCCATAGCCCCATATCCCCCCTCTTCCTACCCCATAGTCCCCAGCCCTCCTGCCCCATAGCCCCATATCCCCCCTCCTCCTACCCCATAGTCCCCACTCCTCCTGCCCCATAGCGCCCCCCCTCCCCGTGCCCCATAGGAGCACCGCAGCTCACCGGAGCTTGAAGACGTTCTTCTTCTTCTTGTAGTCGGTGGCCACCTCGCTGGTGGCGCGGTGGAGGCTGAGCAGGGGCTCCCCGCCGTGGGTGCTGCCCGAGGCCGGGCCCTTGGCGTCCTTGTAGAAGCCCAGGTCCCCCTTGCTCAGCACGCAGTAAAGGTTCACCCAGGACCTGGGGGGCAGCAATGGGGGGGGGCGGGTTGGGTGGTGTGGGTCAGGGAGGTCAAGGGCAGGCACTGGGGGGTCTCATGGGGGACCCGCTCTGTTGATGGGACCCAACCATTGGTGACCCTGCTCCATTGATGGGTCCCAACCCTTGTGAACCCTTCCCATTGATGGGTCTCTGGATGAACCCTCTCCATTGATGGGTCTCTGGATGAACCCTCTCCATTGATGGGTCTCTTGATGAACCCTCTCCATTGATGGATCCCAGCCCTTGATGAACCCTCTCCATTGATGGGTTTCTTGATGAACCCTCTCCATTGATGGGTTTCTTGATGAACCCTCTCCATTGATGGGTCTCTTGATGAACCCTCTCCATTGATGGGTCTCTGGATGAACCCTCTCCATTGATGGGTCTCTTGATGAACCCTCTCCATTGATGGGTTTCTTGATGAACCCTCTCCATTGATGGATCCCAACTCTTGATGAACCCTCTCTATTGATGGATCCCTTGATGAACCCTCTCCATTGATGGATCCCAACCCTTGATGAACCCTCTCCATTGATGGATCCCTTGATGAACCCTCTCCATTGATGGGTCTCTTGATGAACCCTCTCCGTTGATGGATCCCAACCCTTGATGAACCCTCTCCATTGATGGATCCCAACCCTTGATGAACCCTCTCCATTGATGGACCCCAACCCTTGATGAACCCTCTCCATTGATGGACCCCAACCCTTGATGAACCCTCTCCATTGATGGACCCCAACCCTTGATGAACCCTCTCCATTGATGGGTCCCAACCCTTGATGAACCCTCTCCATTGATGGGTCCCAACCCTTGATGAACCCTCTCCATTGATGGATCCCAACCCTTGATGAACCCCCTCCATTGATGGGTCTCTTGATGAACCCTCTCCGTTGATGGATCCCAACCCTTGATGAACCCTCTCCATTGATGGGTCCCTTGATGAACCCTCTCCATTGATGGATCCCTTGATGAACCCTCTCCATTGATGGGTTTCTTGATGAACCCTCTCCATTGATGGATCCCTTGATGAACCCTCTCCATTGATGGACCCCAACCCTTGATGAACCCTCTCCATTGATGGGTTTCTTGATGAACCCTCTCCATTGATGGATCCCAACCCTTGATGAACCCTCTCCGTTGATGGATCCCAACCATTGGTGACCCCTCTCCATTGATGGATCCCCAGTTGCCCCCTCCCCATGGATACCCCCATCCCCTGTTGCCCCCGGCCCCACGGATGCCCCCATCCCCTGGTACCCCCTTGGCCCCCCACCAACCTGTTGGAGGCCTTCTTGGCCCCGTCCTGCTCGTGCTTGCGCAGGAGGAAGCCCTCGTGGGTGACGGTGTGGCTGGGGGGGGGCGGTGGGGCCGGGGCGCTGCTGCCCTGGGCCGGGGCCGAGCGCGAGCGCCGCGGCTCCCCGGGGCCCTGCGCCGGGTCCTTGGGCCGGGGCCGCCGGCGCGGTCGGGGGCGGTCGCGGGCGCGGGGCCGGTCCGGACGTGGGGGTCGCTCCGGCAGCGCCTCGGCGCCGGGGGGAAGGCGAGGGGGGTCCCGGTCCCGAGGCTGCAGAGATGGGGGGGGGGGGGGATGGAGGAGGTGGGGGGGGGGACAGGGAGGGGACACCAAAGAGACACCAATGGATGGCAATGGATGTCAAGGGGACGCCAATGGATGTCAAGGGGACGCCAATGGATGGCAAGGGGATGCCAATGGATGGCAAGGGGACGCCAATGGATGGCAAGGGGACGCCAATGGATGTCAAGGGGATGCCAATGGATGTCAAGGGGACGCCAATGGATGTCAAGGGGACACCAATGGATGTCAAGGGGACGCCAATGGATGTCAAGGGGACACCAATGGATGGCAAGGGGACGCCAATGGATGTCAAGGGGATGCCAATGGATGTCAAGGGGACGCCAATGGATGTCAAGGGGACGCCAATGGATGTCAAGGGGATGCCAATGGATGGCAAGGGGACACCAATGGATGTCAAGGGGACGCCAATGGATGTCAAGGGGACGACAATGGATGTCAAGGGGACGCCAATGGATGTCAAGGGGATGCCAATGGATGTCAAGGGGACGCCAATGGATGTCAAGGGGATGCCAATGGATGCCAAGAGGATGCCAAGGGGACACCAATGGATGTCAATGGATGTCAAAGGGATACCAAGGGGACATCAATGTGATGCCAAGGGGACATCAATGTGATGCCAAGGGGATGCCGTGCAGAAGTGGAGGGGCCCCCAAAGGGGACTCCCAAGGGGACACGGGGGGGGGGTCCCTCTCTCCTCACCGAAGCCGGCACGGGGCCTCCCGCCTCCTTCTCCTGCAGCTGCTCCACGATGTCAGCCAGGGTCGCTTTGCTGCGGGGGAGCCGGGGTGATGCGGGGGGCACCGGTCCAGCTCTGGTCCCTCCCCATCCCCATCCCTGACCCGCTCCCTCCCCATCCCCATAATGGTCCCTCCCCATCCCCATCCCCATCCCGGTCCCGCTCCCTCCCCATCCCCATCCCCATCCCCATCCCGGTCCCGGTCCCGTCCCTCCCCATCCCCATCCCGCTCCCTCCCCATCCCCATCCCTGACCCGCTCCCTCCCCATCCCCATCCCGAACCCGCTCCCTCCCCATCCCGGTCCCTCCCCATCCCCACCCCACTCCCTCCCCATCCCCATCCCGGTCCCGCTCCCGTCCCTCCCCATCCCGCTCCCGCTCCCGTCCCTCCCCATCCCGGTCCCGCTCCCGTCCCTCCCCATCCCGGTCCCGCTCCCGTCCCTCCCCATCCCGGTCCCGCTCCCGTCCCTCCCCATCCCGGTCCCGCTCCCGTCCCTCCCCATCCCGCTCCCGCTCCCGTCCCTCCCCATCCCCATCCCGGTCCCGCTCCCGTCCCTCCCCATCCCCATCCCCATCCCCATCCCCATCCCCGTCCCGCTCCCGTCCCTCCCCATCCCGGTCCCGCTCCCGTCCCTCCCCATCCCGCTCCCGCTCCCGTCCCTCACCCTTTCCCGTCGGGGCGCGCCTCGGGCTCGCTCGATTCCTGCCTCTCCAAGCGCCGCTCCCTCCGCTCCCGTCTCCGCTCCAGCAGCCCCGGCCGGGGCTCGGCCGCCGCCTCGGGCTCCGCTGGGGGGGGGTCCCCGGTGGGAGGCGGCTCCGAGGCCCCCGGGGGGGCCTGGACGCGGTCGCGCTGCGGCTGCAGCCGCTCGGGGCGCAGCTCCTGGCGCACGAGCCCCACACGCGGCTCCGGTCCCGATCCCGGTCCCGATCCCGGTCCCGGTCCTGGTCCCGGTCCCGGTTCTGGTCCCGGTTCCGGTCCCGGTTCTGGTCCCGGTTCTGGCGCCGTTGGGGCCCCCGAGGGGGCCCCCGGGAACTTGCGGCTCAGGAGAGGGGTCGGGGGCTGCTTGGTCTGCTCGGCGCGGAGCTTCTCGAGCTGTGGGGAGGGGGGAATGGGTGAGGGAGGTGGGGATGGGATGGGGATGGGGTGGGGATGGGGATGGGGATGGAGATGGGATGGGGATGGGATGGGATGGGGATGGGATGGGATGGGGATGGGGATGGGATGGGGATGGGGATGGGGATGGATGTGGGTGGGGATGGGGATGGAGATGGGATGGGATGGGGTTGGATGGGGATGAGATGGGGTTGGATGGGGAGCGGGATGGGGTTGGGTGGGGATGGGATGGGGATGGATGGGGATGGGATGGGGATGGGATGGGGATGGGATGGGGATGGATGGGATGGGGATGGGGATGGGATGGGGATGGGATGGGGATGGGAATGGATGGGATGGGGATGGGATGGGGATGGGATGGGGATGGGGATGGGATGAGGCCCGGGGCTGCCCTGCGCTGCCCTCACCGTCGTGAGCCTCCTCAAGGAGCTGAACTTTTCCTCCCAAGCCGCGGCCGCCTTGCGGAAAGCCTCGTGGCGCCGGATGAGCTGCTCCACCTCGTCCACGCTGCTGCCCAGCTCCTGGCTCCGGAGCAGCGGCTCCTGCGCCGTCAGCCACGCGTCGGCCACCACGGCCTCCTGGGCGAACTGGTGCACCTCCAGCACTGTAGGTACCGCATACGGTCACCTACTGCACCGCACGCGGTCACCATCACCTCCAGCACTGTAGGTACCGCATACGGTCACCTACTGCACCGCACGCGGTCACCATCACCTCCAGCACCACGGGTACCACATGCAGTCACCATCACCTCCATCACCACAGGTACCACACGCAGTCACCATCACCTCCATCACCACGGGTACCACATGCAGTCACCATCACCTCCATCACCACAGGTACCACATGCAGTCACCATCACCTCCATCACCACGGGTACCACATGCAGTCACCATCACCTCCATCACCACGGGTACCACATGCAGTCACCATCACCTCCATCACCACAGGTACCGCATGGGGTCACCATCACCTCCATCACCATGGGTACCACATGCAGTCACCATCACCTCCATCACCACGGGTACCACATGCAGTCACCATCACCTCCATCACCACGGGTACCACATGCAGTCACCATCACCTCCATCACCACGGGTACCACATGCAGTCACCATCACCTCCATCACCACAGGTACTGCATGGGGTCACCATCACCTCCATCACCACAGGTACCGCATGCAGTCACCATCACCTCCATCACCACGGGTACCACATGCAGTCACCATCACCTCCATCACCACAGGTACCACATGCAGTCACCATCACCTCCATCACCACGGGTACCGCATGGGGTCACCATCACCTCCATCACCACGGGTACCACATGCAGTCACCATCACCTCCATCACCACAGGTACCACATGCAGTCACCATCACCTCCATCACCATGGGTACCACATGCAGTCACCATCACCTCCATCACCACGGGTACCACACGCGGTCACCATCACCTCCATCACCACGGGTACCACATGCAGTCACCATCACCTCAGGGACCGTGGGTACCGCATGCAGTCACCATCACCCCCACCACCGGCGCCCACCCTGTGGGGCACTCACTCTGCTGCAGCCACTCCCAGTGCTTGTCCCACGTCTCCAACATCTCTTTCTTCTTCGTGAGCAGCTTTTCCACGTGGGCTTTGATCTGCAGGGGTTGGGGCAACTGCAATGGGTGGGGATCCCCATAATGGGTTGGAACCCTCCGGAATGGGTTGGGATCCCCAATGGGTTGGGTTCACCCCATGAGTTGGGATTTCCGATGGGTTGGGACACCCCAATGGGTTGGGACCTCCTCAATGGGTTGGGACCTCCTCAATGGGTTGGGACCTCCTCAGTGGGTTGGGACCTCTTCAATGGGTTGGGACCTCCTCAATGGGTTGGGATCCACAAGGGGTTGGGACCTCCTCAATGGGTTGCGATCCCCAAGGGGTTGGGACCTCCTCAATGGATTGGGATCCACAATGGGTTGGGACCTCCTCAATGGGTTGAGACCTCCTCAATGGGTTGGGATCCCCAATGGGTTGGGACCTCCTCAATGGGTTGAGACCTCCTCAATGGGTTGGGATCCCCAATGGGTTGGGACCTCTTCAATGGGTTGGGACCTCCCAAATGGGTTGGGACCTCCTCAATGGGTTGGGACCTCCTCAATGGGTTGGGACCTCCCAAATGGGTTGGGACCTCCTCAATGGGTTGGGACCTCCTCAATGGGTTGGGACCTCCCAAATGGGTTGGGACCTCCCAAATGGGTTGGGACCTCCTCAATGGGTTGGGACCTCCCAAATGGGTTGGGACCTCCCAAATGGGTTGGGACCTCCTCAATGGGTTGGGACCTCCTCAATGGGTTGGGACCTCTTCAATGGGTTGGGACCTCCCAAATGGGTTGGGACCTCCTCAATGGGCTGGGATCCCCCCAATAAGCTGGGACCCTCCCAATGGGTTGGGACCTCTTCAATGGGTTGGGACCTCCCAAATGGGTTGGGACCTCCTCAATGGGCTGGGATCCCCAATGGGTTGGGACCTCCTTAGTGGGTTGGGACCTCTTCAATGGGTTGGGACCTCCCAAATGGGTTGGGACCTCCTCAATGGGCTGGGATCCCCCCAATGAGCTGGGACCCCCCCAATGGGTTAGGACCCGTCAATGGCTGCACCTCATCGGCCGCTGGGCTCTTGCTGAGGATGAGGCTCTTGCCCAGCTCCAGGCAGCTGGAGATGCTCTTGGCTCGGGCCTCGATCTCGTTCTTGAGGCTCTGGTGGTCGCTCATCAGCAGCTCCACCGAGGAGACGTCCCTGAAAGGGGGGGAGAGGCCACGGTGAGGGTCTCCGTGTCCTTGGGATGGGGCAGGATGTGGGGCCTTGGTGCCATGGGCGGGATGGGGCCTTGGTGCCATGGGTGGGCCAGGACATGGGGCCTTGGGATGAGGTAGGACATGGGTCTTGAGCTTGGGATGGGATGGGACACAGGGTCTTGGTGCCATGGATGGGCCAGGACATGGGACCTTGGCACAGGACATGGGATGTTAGCACAGGTCACGGGTCCTTGGAATGGGGCATGGTCCTTGGGATGGGAAATGGGTCCTTGGGTCGGGAAATGGGTCCTTAGGGTGGGACATGGTCGTTGGGATGGGAAATGGGTCCTTAGGGTGGGACATGGTCGTTGGGATGGGATATGGGTCCTTGGAATGGGACATGGTCCTTGGAATGGGACATGGTCCTTGGGATGGCAAATGGGTCCTTGGGGTGGGAAATGGGTCCTTGGGGTGGGAAATGGGTCCTTGGGGTGGGAAGTGGGTCCTTGGGGTGGGTCCTTGGGGTGGGAAATGGGTCCTTGGGGTGGGAAATGGGTCCTTGGGGTGGGAAATGGGTCCTTGGGGTGGGAAATGGGTCCTTGGGGTGGGATATGGTCGTTGGGATGGGAAATGGGTCCTTGGGGTGGGAAATGGGTCCTTGGGGTGGGAAATGGGTCCTTGGGGTGGGAAATGGGTCCTTGGGGTGGGAAATGGGTCCTTGGGGTGGGAAATGGGTCCTTGGGGTGGGAAATGGGTCCTTGGGGTGGGCCATGCTCCTCTCCCCCCCCTACCTGGGCTTGTCCCCGGCTCCCATCTGCTGCAGGACCCCGTCCATCCAGGCCAGCAGGTCCCTGGCGGCGCCCACGAAGCGGATGCGCTCGGCGACGCCGGCCACGTGGAGCCGGCAGCGCTCGCAGGCTGCCAGCAGCTCCTTCCACGCGCGCAGCACCTCCTGCTCCCGCGCCGCGATGGCCTCGGCGTTGTCTCCGGCGTAGAGGGTGCGGAGCTGCGCCGCCGCCTCCTGCAGCCGCCGCACCTGGCTCACCAGCACCTCCACGTCGTGCTCGAAGGCGCCCAGCGCCCGCTGCAAGGCGCCGGCGGAGCCGCGGCCGTCGCGCGCCGCCAGCTCCGGCAGCCGCCGCCGGCGCTCCTCGATCTGCGCCAGGAGCTCCTTGCAGTCGTTGAAGAACTTGTGGAGCTCGTGCGAGGCCGCCAGCATCTGCGCCCGCGTCTCCATCAGCTCCAGCAGCTCGGCCCAGGCCTCGTTGACGCCGTCCTTCCACTCGGCGATGGTGGCGGCGTCGGCGTGGCCGTAGTCGATGAGCTCGTCCACCATCTGGTTGAGCGCGGCGATGCGCTCCTGCCCCACGCTGCCCGTCTCGCTGGCGAACTCCAGGAACTTCTCCTGCAGCAGCTGCGGGAGCCGGGGAGGGGAAGGGGGTGAGGGAGGGAGGAGGGACACGGGTGGAGAGGGGAAGGCCGGGATGGAGCTGGGATGGTGCCTGGGATGATGCATTGGTGGTACCCAGGGTGGAGCTGGGATGGTGCCCATGATGGAGCAGGGATGGTGCCTGGGATGATGCATTGGTGGTACCCGGGGTGGAGCTGGGATGGTGCCCATGATGGAGCAGGGATGTTATCCAGGATGGAGCAGGGATGGTGCCTGGGATGATGCATTGATGGTACCCGGGATGGAGCTGGGATGGTGCCCGGGATGGAGCAGGGATGGTGCCTGGGATGGAGCAGGGATGTTATCCAGGATGGAGCTGGGAACCCCAGGATGGAGATGGGATGGTGCCTGGGATGGAGCAGGGTTGATGTCTGGGATGGAGCAGGGATGGTGCCCATGATAGAGCAAGGATGATGCCCAGGATGATGCATTGATGGTACCCAGCATGGAGCATTGATGGTACCCAGGATGGAGCAGGGATGATGCCCAGGACGATGCATTGATGGTACCCAGCATGGAGCATTGACGGTACCCAGGATGGAGCTGGAGTGGTGCCTGGGATGGAGCAGGGATGGTGCCTGGGATGATGCATTGATAGTATCCAGGATGGAGCAGGGATGGTACCCAGCATGGAGCAGGGATGATGCTCAGGATGATGCCTGGGATGATGCCCAGGATGATGCATTGATGGCACCCAGCATGGAGCATTGATGGTACCCAGCATGGAGCAGGGATGATGCCCAGGATGATGCATTGATGGCACCCAGCATGGAGCATTGATGGTACCCAGGATGGAGCAGGGATGGTACCCAGCATGGAGCAGGGATGATGCCTGGGCCGATGCATTGATGGTACCCAGCATGGCGCAGGGATGATGCTCAGGACGATGCATTGATGGTACCCAGCATGGAGCAGGGATGATGCCCAGGATGATGCCCAGGACAATGCATTGATGGTACCCAGGATGGAGCACTGATGGTACCCAGGATGGAGCATTGATGGTACCCAGCATGGAGCAGGGATGATGCCTGGGCCGATGCATTGATGGTACCCAGGATGGAGCAGGGATGATGCCCGTGATGACGCCCAGGACGATGCACTGACGCTGCCACCACCAGGATGCAGCTCTGCATCCCCAGCAACCCCAGGGCCCCTTCTCTGGAGCAGCACCCACACCAAGACCCCGCTCTGGTCCAGCACCACCCCCCATCACCCCCATCCCACACCGGGGACCCCCCCGTCCCCCGTCCCGGACCCCATCTCACGGTGACGTGCTCGAAGTCCTGCCCCAGCTCCGGCGACCCGGCCACCACCTCCTTCTCGGCGATCCAGTGCTCGAGCTCGTCCACCTCGCGGTTGAGCTGGTAGAGCCAGTACTGCTGCTCCAGCTTGGCCTTGCGCTCCTCCACCAGCTCCTTCAGAGACACGTACAGCCGGTCAACCTGCGACTGCCGCCTGCTGACCTGTTCGCTGGGCAAGGGACACAGCGCCCGGTGAGCGCCCAGCACCCATGGGTGCCCCCCTTTGGCCCTGTGGGGATGGGCGACCCGGAGCTCGCCCCACCTTTGGGGGTGGCCGAGCTCCAGCAGCGCCCGGCACTGGCGCGAGAGCTGGGCGATGGTTTCCTCGTAGTTCTCCACCGTCTGCTCGGTCAGGAGGTGCTTCTTGAGGAGCTGGAGGGTGCTCTGCTCGTCCTGGGGGGGGCAATGGGTGCACAGGGGCACGTACAGATGGGCTCCTGTGGGTCATAGGAGGCGTAGGGCCGTAGGGTGGGGTGGGAATCACGGAGTGGGATGGGGGTCATGGAGTGGGATGGGAGCCATAGAGTGGGGTGGGAGTCATAGAGTGGAATGGGAGTCATAGAGCCATAGGGTGGCATGGGAGTCATGGAGTAGGATGGGAGTCATAGAGTGGGATGGGAGCCATAGAGCCATAGGGTGGCATGGGAGCCATACAGTGGGATGGGAGTCATAGAGTGCATCTCTACCCCTTCCCATCCATCCTCCTGAGCTCTCCACCTGCATCCCTCATCCCATCCATCCTCCTGAGCTCCCCATGGGCATCCCTCATCCCATCCATCCTCCTGAAGCTCTCCATGTGGTCCATGCACATCCCTCATCCCATCCATCCTCCTGAGCTCCCCATGGGCATCCCTCATCCCATCCATCCTCCTGAGCTCTCCATGTGGTCCATGCACATCCCTCATCCCATCCATCCTCCTGAGCTCTCCATGTGGTCCATGCACATCCCTCATCCCATCCATCCTCCTGAGCTCCCCATGGACATCCCTCATCCCATCCATCCTCCTGAGCTCCCCATGGGCATCCCTCATCCCATCCATCCTCCTGAGCTCTCCACCTGCATCCCTCATCCCATCCATCCTCCTGAGCTCTCCACCTGCATCCCTCATCCCATCCATCCTCCTGAGCTCTCCACCTGCATCCCTCATCCCATCCACCCTCCTGAGCTCCCCACATGCATCCCTCATCCCATCCACCCTCCTGAGCTCCCCACTCACATCCTCCCATCCCATCCATCCTCTTCAGCTCTCCATGTGGTCCATGCACATCCCTCATCCCATCCATCCTCCTGAGCTCTCCATGTGGTCCATGCACATCCCTCATCCCATCCATCCTCCTGAGCTCTCCATGTGGTCCATGCACATCCCTCATCCCATCCATCCTCCTGAGCTCCCCATGCACATCCCTCATCCCATCCATCCTCCTGAGCTCCCCATGGGCATCCCTCATCCCATCCATCCTCCTGAGCTCTCCACCTGCATCCCTCATCCCATCCATCCTCCTGAGCTCCCCATGGGCATCCCTCACCCCATCCATCCTCCTGAGCTCCCCATGGGCATCCCTCACCCCATCCATCCTCCTGAGCTCTCCATGTGGTCCATGCACATCCCTCATCCCATCCATCCTCCTGTGCTCTCCATGTGGTCCATGCACATCCCTCATCCCATCCATCCTCCTGTGCTCTCCATGTGGTCCATGCACATCCCTCATCCCATCCATCCTCCTGAGCTCTCCATGTGGTCCATGCACATCCCTCATCCCATCCATCCTCCTGAGCTCTCCATGTGGTCCATGCACATCCCTCATCCCATCCATCCTCCTGAGCTCCCCATGGGCATCCCTCATCCCATCCATCCTCCTGTGCTCTCCATGTGGTCCATGCACATCCCTCATCCCATCCATCCTCCTGAGCTCTCCACCTGCATCCCTCATCCCATCCATCCTCCTGAGCTCCCCATGGACATCCCTCATCCCATCCATCCTCCTGAGCTCCCCATGGGCATCCCTCATCCCATCCATCCTCCTGAGCTCTCCACCTGCATCCCTCATCCCATCCATCCTCCTGAGCTCCCCACCTGCATCCCTCATCCCATCCATCCTCCTGAGCTCCCCACATGCATCCCTCATCCCATCCACCCTCCTGAGCTCCCCACTCACATCCTCCCATCCCATCCATCCTCTTCAGCTCTCCATGTGGTCCATGCACATCCCTCATCCCATCCATCCTCCTGAGCTCTCCATGTGGTCCATGCACATCCCTCATCCCATCCATCCTCCTGAGCTCTCCATGTGGTCCATGCACATCCCTCATCCCATCCATCCTCCTGAGCTCTCCATGTGGTCCATGCACATCCCTCATCCCATCCATCCTCCTGAGCTCCCCACCTGCATCTCTCATCCCATTCATCCACCTGAGCTCTCCACCTGCATCCCTCATCCCATCCATCCTCCTGAGCTCTCCATGTGGTCCATGCACATCCCTCATCCCATCCATCCTCCTGAGCTCTCCACCTGCATCCCTCATCCCATCCACCCTCCTGAGCTCTCCACCTGCATCCTTCATCCCATCCATCCTCCTGAAGCTCTCCATGTGGTCCATGCACATCCCTCATCCCATCCATCCTCCTGAGCTCCCCATGCTCATCCCTCATCCCATCCATCCTCCTGAGCTCTCCATGTGGTCCATGGGCATCCCTCATCCCACCCATCCTCTTCAGCTCTCCACGTGGTCCACGTGCATCCCTCATCCCATCCATCCTCCTGCACTCTCCATGAGGTCCACGAGCATCCCGCACCCCATCCCATCCTCCCGACCCCTCCATTGGGGCGCACCGCGGGCACCTTGCCCTTGTCGTCGCTCATGAGCAGCAGCTCCTGCTCCCCGAGCCAGGCCTCCACCTCGGCCACGTCGCACTTGTACTGCTCCAGCTGGAAGGTGGCGTCCAGCGCCTGCTGCCGCCGCTCCGCCTGCTCCTGCAGCTCCCCCCAGAGCGAGCCCAGGCGCTCCTGCAGCCGCCGCACGCCCTCGGCCTCGGGGCTGCGGATGGAGGCCACGGCCCCGGCGCGCTCCAGAACCTCGGCCACGCGCGGGCGATGCACCTGGATCTCCCGGCGGAGGGTCTGTGGGGGGGTCAATGCGGGGGTCAATGGGGGGGGCAATGGGGGAATCAATGCGGGGGTCAATGGGGGTCTGTGGGGGGATCAATGCGGGGTCAATGGGGGTCTGTGGGGGGGTCAATGGGGGGGACAATGGG